TGGTTGGTGAGGCCTCCTCTTCTTCCTCATGTCCACTATCATCTCCTTTGTCTTGTCAGTGTAGAGGGTGAGGTTGTTGTCCTCACACCATGACACCAGACCGGCCACCTCTCTCCTGTAAGCTGCTTTGTCCCCTCCAGTGATGCGGCCAATCACTGCAGTGTCGTGGGTGAACTTCAAAACGATGTTATCTTTGTTGGAGGTGACACAGTCATGGGTGTACAGGGTGTAGAGGATGGGACGGAGGACACAACCCTGTGGAACTCTAGTGTTTGTAATAATATTGGCTGAAGTCCTGTTTTTTAAGGTTAACCTAATAATGTATTTTGTCTTGCTTTGTTTTTTTAGTTTGTAATGTAGATTATTTAAAAATACCTTTATGTCATGTTTTTTGAATATTTGGTATTAAAATGTTGCATTCTGATTACAAAAGTGTGAAAAATGGTGAATCTCCTTGTAAGACCTTCCTTTGTCACAATTTGTGGGTTGCACACAGTGTTGGATAATATGAAGCAGACCCTTGCAGAGATGTGAAGCATGAAGTGGCCCTCAGACCAAATCACTGGTATGTGCATATCTCATCAATCATACTTCAACTCCCTATAAAGCTCACACAGATTCAGTTTTCATTGACAGTGTCAGAAATGTAAAGGTTCATATTCCATGTTTACATAAAATATTAAACATGTCAAGAACCTACGAGCTTATTTATTGTTCAATCAGCTATTTTCACACTGACATAAGACCTCACCTGAGGGGGTTTAGGTCCTTCTGGCTGCATGCTTGCTTTGCTGCTGCTGCCACTGGGACTGTTCTGTTAAAAAAAGAAAAGCACAGATAAATTAATTTGGCTGATAGATGCAGAGTAGAAATGGGGAAGTAATAACATTGCAGTATTATTAGTTTTTACTTACCGTTTGCTTGGAAAGAAAGTCCCTAATATCTCCCATGTTCTTTGATCGTTTGGGAGGCATTTTCTCCTGCAATCATGAACATAAAAGCAGAGTATGTCAAGTGTTTGTTCTTAAGATGGAAAAAACTATGGTGTTTCGAACAGTTTTGTTGTCCAGAAGACTCACATTGAAAGTACACACACCTCTGTTTTCTACTGTAGTCGTCAGGGAGGGATGAAAGAGTTCAGATGTTGATATCCTGATAAAAATAAATAATTAATATCTAAAAATATCCAGAAAAGGAAAATGCTGAAAATGCCTGTTGGCACACATTATGAGCAAATAGTTGGAAAATGTCAAAATACAACTAACCATGGATGTCTTGTGGGTTTCTCCAAGTTTCTCCAAACTGAGGCTTAGTTGCTTTTCTAAAATACACTACACAAGTAGCAACAAATTGCCCACCAAAAGTCATGTGTGTGCTGCTTGTACTTACTCTTGAGCCTCTGAACTAATCAGCATAGAGCACAGCAGCTAAGGTTGCTTAGAAGGACTTACACCAGAAGAAGTACATTTTTTTCTTTTCCAAAAAACGTCTAACAGGAACATTTCCTGCTCTAGGAAACCAAAACATGGTCCATCATACTAATTTTTGTGTTGGATTTGATTTAATTTTGTAACAAATTAGATATGGCAGTATGTCTGTAAGGGGGTAATTTAGCCAAAAAACATAAAAAGCAAAATAAATGCTCAACAGGTATAAATTGTTATGAATTATTATGGTACATTAAATATCTTAGAATCCAAAATTACAACCAGAACGAAGCAGGGCCATGATAAGATAAGACTGGTCTAATAACTGTATGAAACCCATTTCCTTCGTGCGTGTGCCTGATGCATGCAAAAGAAAGGCTGCAGGAAGCACTTTGTTCTTTAACGTCTCAATGGTTTGGTTCAGCAAAGAACAGTGTCTCTTTACTAAAGCTGCATTTGTGCCGGCAGATGCTCATCTCATCGCCTATAAAGTTGTCTACTGAGTGGCACAGTCTCAAAAGCCGCACAACTGCCAAAGAATTAATATTCCCTGTGCTGTGGCTATGGTTTTCACTATGATTGATGACACAGCAGCCAGCAAACTATGGGCTATTCCTCTGTCCAATAATACAATCAGCAGGCAAATATCTATGTCAAAGAGGAGCACCTTAATGATAAGGTGTGTGACAGCCGCTTTTCTCTGCAGATGGATGAAGTTTCAAATTTAACTGTTACAACTTTCTTATGAAACCTTGTGGCATGTTTCTGAAACTCAATGAACTGGATTTCCGCCTCAGCTTTTGTTAATGCACAGTTAAAGTGGCTTTGTTTAAACTGTATTGCACAGCGCTATGTACTGCCCCCTTGTGGTCATCCTACAAACAATGCAGCATGAAGGAGCTGCATGTTGCATATAATGATGCAATGAGGATCCTTTTTAGGATAGGGGGCAGTGCCAGTTAGATGTTTGCAGCTGTGGGTGTTTGGACACCATTAAGACATTTAATGTTCACATTTAGAGGTGTGTGCAGCTGCTTTTTCTCTGCAGATGGATGAAGTTTCAATGGCTCCAGTAACAGTATCATTTTAGCACTCTCAGATCCGACAGTGAGTTCCCGCTACTCATCCAGTCTGAGGAAGCACTGGTTGAAGTTTTTGGGCATTTATTGATTTCTTTTAAGTAATCGTCTATTTTATGAATATTATGGTTTTAAATTTTTTACAATGTTTTATATTTTATATATATAATTTTTTATTGAGGTTTATATGTTGTGTTTTGTCTTGTTTCTATGGACATAAAGTATGTCAATAAAGACTGAATTGAAATGAAAATTACCGGATTCTATCACGTTGTCATCGTCCCGGCGCTCTCTCTCGCTCTCTGTCTCTCTCTCATCGCTATGCCTGTGCGGAGCTCATGTTGGGCTCCCGCCTTTGGCCCACGTACCTGCAGTTAATCCCCCATGTAACAGATTTCAGGGACCCGTCCTGAATCCTGAACCCTTGGACCCCCTGAGCGTGAGTGTTGGCAGTTTGGCGTGGAGTTTGTGTGTGAGGATGGTTAGGGTCTCACTCCCCTCGTGGGGAATGAGAGGAGCTGAGCGAGTTTAGACCCCTGGAGCGCGGACCCTCCCCCACCTGTATATACAGCCTTCCGGTGTTGTTTAATAAAGAACTGTTTAACTGTGTCAGTCCGCGCCTGAGTCCGTCCCGCCTGCCCTGATACACGTATTTCTTAAATCCAGCTTCACACACACCATTTAATCTAGGTCAGTTTTTGAGCAGGTTTCACTGGTGTAAATTAGCCTATATCCTCTGAGATACAAACACGGGTGAGAAAGTTAACCTCACCTTTCAGTCCGGCTTCTCCAGATATTTCCAGATGTTTCTCCGGTCAGGCTGAGAGAGCCGCTGACTTTCACAAACACGCGCTGAAAGCAGGTGGGAAATGGAGCAAAGATCCACAAGGTTTCGTGACAGCAGCTCCTAAAGTTGATGATCGGGCGAATAAGAGCGAAAGTTGGGTGAGCGCTCAGTCCTCTGACCGCTTCGGGAGTGAGTCAGAGCAGTCAATACTGGCGCCTCTTCAACGGGAACAAATCCGCAAATAACCCCGCCCATATCTGTCAAGTTCAACCCAATTGAATCACAGAGACAAGTCTGCTCAGTATGAAACGTACGGCGGGAGTGTGAGTGTGACATACATTTTTGTGGTTTAACATGTTTCTATTTAATAATTAAACTGTTTCATTTAAAACTATAGTTTAAAAAAACTGTCCTGGCTAAATTGCACCACAATAACTCCTACTTTAGAGCAATGAGTGTCATATCCAACCGATTGCGGGAGTGTGATTATGACGTTATTTCTGTGGATTGCAGTGGTGGGCAGAACAATTCAAATATCAACAATATTAATTGATATTTAAAGTTTGTATTGATATTAATCAGTACCAGTGTAATGAAATCAATACTTTCGTTTCTGTTTCTCGCCTGTATTGCACTGCTGCGGTTTCATCAAAGAGGCAACCTGGCTGTCTGTGTAAGTGCCGCTGCTTTGATGTGTCACTGCAGGGAGCAGGCGCAGTTTGCTCCTCCCCCTCCCTTCTTGCGTTTTAACGTACGGTCACGTGACTGAGCAGCGCTAGGCAAGCAATAATAATAATTAATAATAACAGAAAATGCAAAGCATACATGATTGTGTTCAAATCTTTCAAAATGTGAAGTCAGAAACTTTATTATGACGCAAGTTCAACTTGCTCAGGTTATCTGGCTTCGTTTAGCCTAACATCAGCAGGGAGGTTAGGTTAGCTAAGTGATTACATGACACTTCATGAATAAAAACAGGGTTTCTCAATCTAGCCATGAGCGTGTACACATCAAAAAATCAGCACTGGTAAGACACGATCAATCAGAAACACGGACAGAGTCGCACGTTTTAGTGTGTATTCACAAGTTAACTGGCTCGTCATTACTCTGTTATTAATGCATGGAAGTTGTTCATTGTTTTCATTGAAGTGTGAAACAGAGATGTGTGCAAAAGACCTGTGGCTGTAATATTAAACATATTAGAAACTTAAAAATGTAACTATATTAAAATTTCAACAATTAGCTCCTTTCACACCAACATAAGACGTCACCCACGAGGGTGTAGCTCCCTGTGGCTCCATGCTCGCACTGGTGCTGCTACCACCAGGGCTGTCCTGATTTAAAAACAACAACAACAACAAACCCACCACACACACACACACACACACACACACACACACACACACACACACACACACACAAACGCACATACAACAAAATTTTTGGCGACAAGTGATAGATATCCATATTATAAATGGGGAAGGATGGACACAGCACTTTTATTAGCATTTTACTCACAGTTTGCCTTGCTAAAAAGCACATGATGTCCCCCACATTCTTTTTTTTCATTTGGGAGGCATTTTCTCCTGAAATTAATAATAGGGTATCTGATGTGCTTGTTTTTGTTGGGGTTAAAGGTGGGGAAGTCTTCACCAGATGCCTCACACCAGCAGGCTGTTTTTCTTACTCAAATCCTCATCAGATAGATAATTAATGTCTAAAAATGTCCACACAAAAAAATCTCCATTGATACACATTGTTGGCTTGTTGCCATTATCCAACACCACAATGATAACACATATTCTAATATTATTAAAAATGCAAAAAAGTTTAAACACTCCCCTTCAAACTAATCCTTTTTAGCACAGTTATTTAATCATCTCTGCCTGAGCATCATATACAATGGTGATTTCACATACGCTGAGCAACCAGAAAGCTCAGACTTGGCTGCACAAGTAGGAACAAATTTGCCCGCCAAAAGTCAAGAATGTGGCGCTTGTACTTGTCCTTTAGAGTCATGCCTTTTAACCAACCAGTATGGAGCCTGCTCATCAGCATTTTAAGTCTGTTTTGAAATACTACTACATTTTTTGACCTATTACATGAGCAGTTGCTCCTGCAGGAAACCAAAAGTTGGCACCATCATGCTTTACTGTTTTTTGGTTGTGATTTGTTTGAATCTATATTGTAACAAATTAGAAATTGTTGTAGCTTGTCTGTGTAGGGTAATTTAGTCAAATCTGAGATTTTCAAAGTACAACTGTCTGCCTGATCCCTCTTTCCTGTGGTCAGCATGTGTTGCCATATTAAGACAGCCTGTTTAAATAGCGGTTTGAAACCGATGTCCTTGCTGCAAGCGAAACAAAGGCTGAAGGAAGCACTTTGTTCTTTGTAGCCTGAACAGCTTGTCATTAAATTAAAAAAAAAAACAACTACAATATTTTCTTACTTGCCTTTTGTTCCCTCCCTTTTTCCAGTGTAAGAAAAGTAGTTGGAACCTGCTCTCACACCATTAAAAACATCAAAACTTTCATTCCTGTGAATTATTTGGATTAAAAGGTGATTATGTAAACACATTGGTTTAATTAAACTGAAAGACAATAAAATCCTAACCAAAAATACAAATTTTCTACATAATTCCCAAGAGCTGTTAGAATGCACTCCAGAATTCTTTCAGTCTTTGTGCAGTGAACATTAACTTACCTGTTAGTGATGAACTTTTTCTTCAGAATCCAAAAAAGAGAGAAAGAAATAGGTCTTCAGTTTCTCCTCATGGCATTTCAGCTTACAAAAGCAGACAAAGTGTGGATCTGTGAAGTCTGAGAAAGCTTTGAGGTATCAGTATATTAGCGTAATAACCG